CATACTGTGAGTGAAGACGCTTTCAAGGTGATCTACCGGGTGCCTCCTTATCTAAGGCTATTCGTCAACAACATTTAGCAACAGCTGAGGCAGTAGCCACCCGTTTGTTTAATCCATGACTTTGTTCCCAAAAACGATTCGTTAAAGCATTTCAACTGCCGTGGCCACGGAGTGAATTCAGTCGCATTTCTGGAACTGACCAGTTCCATAACCCCTTGAATCTTTCGATTCACCCCGTGCCCAAAGTAGGTGATGGTTAACCTTGACTCCGTCCTAACCCTCCTGTGACATGTCCCTATTCCCATCCACCTACCACACCCCTTTTGTTTGTAAACCACACATAAACAATTAGCTATATCGACCAATCCAATCCTCACACAAATCAAACGTTATGCAAAAGTGATATGTCTATTACCCATTTATATAACTGTATTATAACTATATATATATATATATATATGTACATATATATATACATATGGTGAAAAACGTCACTGGAATTTACTCATCGAAATGACTCATAGATTTTATACAGATATTGTACTTTCATTTCGTTCATATTCTATTTGCCCTTCTTCATTTTTGAGCACTGAAGGCAGTCACTTTAGCATGGAGTCCACCAATTTGATTATCAAACACAATTTGCTACTTTTTTCTAATACATGCCGCACTCTAACCACTGACGACCACTGTCGAGGCAGCTAACTTATCCCGGTTTCTAATACAAGGAAAAGCCTTAGATTATATTTAAATCCCAACAGCTGGGTGGTAACTGAATGAATTTGACATTGGTCTTCACCTATCCAGAAACTGTATAAATGTGGAAATATAATATTTAATGAGGTCGAACCATTTCTACTACGAACCTCAAGTGAGAAAATAAACTAATCTTCATCTGTGAAAAATATGACTTCTGCGAGTGCACTTTGGGAGTGACAGTTATCAAAAATCTCCCTTATCAGCGCAAGAAGTTTTGCAATATCCACATTGGTATGTGCAGGAGACCAAGAACAAGACGCTCAGTGTTTAATTCCCTTCCAACTCGTTAAGCGAGATGAATTCTTTACTACTTTTGACAAGTAAAACGAAATTAATTGGAACATAAGGTTAGTAGATCAGCTTTCTCCGCCCGCTGAATTACTCATCAGTGAGATAAACCCAATGCCAAACGGATGGGCGAAGAAATTTGAATTTTTTGATAAAAGCGATACGTGCATTGCTTTGTTGGGCGTTCAATAATGTCCTCATATTAGGTGACCTCAGCTGCATTTCAAATTGAGCCATCATTTTCCAAACGGTAGTGAGAGGAAAAAACGGCTAATCCACCCGGAAGACTATCTATCTTGGTTGTGTGCAACTTTTCTCCGTTGCGATCAAATTCATTCATCGTCTTGCATCGATGTGATCGGGCTTCTCCATCTTGGTGGAGAAATCCCACTGATTGTGCAATAAATTGGGCTTGCGATCACATCGAAGCACTTGCGCAAGTCAGGAACTGAGTCATTGGATTTATGTGCCTCTCGGCTTCAACTATATCCTGAAATCTTTTGGATATGTCATCCGGTTTCGACATGGTGACACTACAAGACGCTTATCCAACGAGCCGCATACCCTAAGGTCAACTTTTAGGTTTCTTGGAATGTATTTTCAGTTATTTCAGGTTAATACCTGAGTGTAGCCAAACAATTTATCAATTTATTCAAGCTAGAATATTTTCATTAATTGGCATATTTACCACGCATTGAATGAAAAGATATGAGCAACTTAGAATGCGTTTGTTCAGCTTAATAAGCACTCTAATGAAACGGGAAGCATGCATTATAAAGACTGAATGTCCATGATACATACTATTTTCACAAACTATTTTCCAAATCGGAGTTTCATTTTCTGAACTACCACATATTTCATCGCGACACTCAAGGCCGGGCAAAATCAAAAGATGATAGAATAAAACTAAGAACAGAGAAATGGGAGACATATAGGATATGCATGCATGACGAGTGGCAAGTATCGCAAGTACCGGTCTTGTGCGTCCAGGAAAATTTTGTCCAAGCATTCACATGCTACTTATTATGTATGATACATATAGATATCAACTGGTAACGTATGAAAAGTAAAATCGAAACAAAACCCAAAGCAAAAAGAGTATACGAGCCAAGATAACCCATACTAAGAACATCGCCAGTGTTGAACTGTGGTCAACCGCATCACACTGTTACCTGGGGTCACGTTGATACCAGGTGTTTGTGATATGCCTGAGGCCCGTCGTTTCGCCTCAAGCCGTTCCATCGCAAGGCGACGATTTCGTTCTGCACGTGTCTCGGTGGTGGGACCAGCAGAAGTGGATGGCCCGGCAGCGAGAGGAGATTCGAAGGAATCCGTAATCGGACTGGTTTGATCACGAAGCATCGGAGGTGGACGGTACGATTCGTCTAGATCGGAAAACGAATCGTCCATCATGCTTGCAGCCGGAAACTGTTGATTCGGTGGGGGTAACTGTGAAATTTGGGACATCTTTAAAACATTCGGGGAGGAATGAATGTTTTTGAATAAACAAGATATCATCTAGAAGCTAGCGAATCGAATGTGAGATAAATAAATAAACACAACTAATCTGATCACAACTAATCTTTCTTTAAAGAAAACAAAATGAACAGATGCATGCCCATTTCGAATTGCCACTTCGAGCTGAAAACGTTTCTTTCAAAGTTGCCCGATACCAGTTCCTATAATCCCTATAAAGCTGAAGAGGCATACCGAGAAACCGAAAGCTTGATTTACCTCGTGGGTAAACAAGAGCCTGTGTGGCATTCGGGTTGGGTTTCGAAGAAGTATAGCATTTATGCAGCAGACGCGATATCTCCCTTCCTGTTGAGGGAAGGGTGCACACAATAACACAGTTCCCAGTGTTTTACTTTAAAGTTACCAGTTCCGGTTGATCTGACAGAGTGAGTACTCATGAAATGCGGCTAAGCGAAAACGAGATTTTGGTTTTACCAATCCAATAACTTCTGATCGGTTGATCTAATTCGTTGAACGCTGAGTGACATCCTGTGAATGGTAGAAGCAGAAGGCATCTCATAGAATTTCGGAGTGAGAAAGAGAGAGAGAACTAGACACATGAGTAAGGGGGTTTTCTCCATGGGTTCCTGAGACTTTTCGGGTACGGTATACTTCGCAACAGCCCACACCGACAAAGGGATTTTCTTTCGGATTCCTAGCTGGAGCCTTTAACTAAAGTGACCGACCCACAGGAGAGTCGGGTGTGGACGCAACCAGGGGGTGTGGGAGCTTATAGAGACGTGCCACGCAAGACCTTTGGTCTTCTAATGTTATTCGCTAGTGTACTGATTGACGGTCCACCGTTCGGGATCGGCCCTTGGCCTCATGTATACAATGGGACGGGTGGGAAATATGCAAACATCCATTCTTTCAGAGAGAAACAGAATGTGTTGATAATCCTGAATCAACCAGCTACAGCTGAGGGCATTGGTATTTCGCGGAAAGCTGTCTATAATATCTTAGCCAATTGAACGATTGAACTGCTGCATCTCAGGAAAGATACCACCTGAAAACCAACGAAAAATCGAAGGTAGTTAATGAGGCGATTTTGGAATGGTTGACTGCTGCGAGAGAAAAGCACGGTGAGTCCCTCATGGTGGTGGGCATCGTTTGCAAGAAACTGAATGAACCAGCACGAAAAATGTATTACGGTAACTTCAAAACTTTCCATGGTTGGCTTCACTGCTGGTCAGGCAGACAAGCAACCATTCGAGTGTATGATGTTTCAGGTTTTGGGGGAAAGTTTGACGGTATCGCGTGATGTAGTGAACGAGTTCTGAGCGGGGTTATCGCCAATTCAAGGGG